TAATTGTGGCCATTCGGATACTTTTATTATTGGAAATTATTAGTAATATAATGTAGAAAATTACTGTACTATCAAAATTATCAGTATCGATTTTGTGAAAAGAAAGCCTGCTACTAAGTGATCTCATACCCATTACAAATAGCAGCGTGTATATAATTAAACACAAATAGAAAATGGCACTGGTTAGAATTTCTGTACATTTAATACACTTTCTGCTGATTGTAATCAATTTGATGACCACTTGTTTGTCGTGAATCCCGATACTAATGGGTGTTATTAAACCCGAAAGCATCCGAAATACACACAAATCGCGCGGATTTATACCATTCATGAGGTTATAAAAGTTTACTAACTGTGAGGACAGGGCTATAATGGCAACAACCATCATACCAATGGACGCCTGTATCCAAATTGTGTCCGAAAAATAAAAGACATCCCCAATGATGGCATAAAACTCCGGATTTTGTTGTGGTATTAATATTGACACCAATTGTCTCAAAATAAATTGAGATATTATTGCAACGAAAACGACAATCGGTTTGTGAAACCATCGCCTCTTCGGAGCATTGAATGGCTTATGGGCTGAGAGACCGATGTTATAGAAGTGAGTGCCGGCACTCCTGATGGCCAATGACCCGGGTATTACTTTATTGACAGACAAATAACGGTAATACTATGGATTGTCTTGAGGTGTTAGTATTGACAACAATTGACTTAACCATAGTCTAAAAATTACTTTCAAAATAACAATCGTTTGTGAAACCATCGCCTCTTTTGAGCATTTAATGGCTTATGGCTTATGCCGGCACTACTGATAACCAGTGATCCAGGTATTACTCTAGTAATCCTGACCCGGGGTACAGTTTGCTTGGGATGAACGCGCATAATGTTTATTTAAGTTGAATATTAAAATAATGCCTAATATATTTGTAATTTTAGATTTTAATACCGACTTTAAAAATAGTAAATACTTTGGAAATTAAACATTTACATTATTTTTCAAATTTTAAATACATTTTGCTTTAATTATTACTGCGTTTAAAATATAATTGCATTTTAAATTAAGTGTTAATTAATGCAATTTAATGCACAGCGTATATAATGTGTACATTTAGTATAATTGCAATTAAAATAAACTTGCAATAATTGTTAGTAATAATAATCATCATCTCATTCATTTTAACTGTCATCAAATGATATTAGTAAAATGTATTGCGAAATATAAGTTTTTAAAATAGCCTTGTTAAGAATATTAAATTTATTTACGTTGTAACGATATTAGCATGTAAAGATTTTAACATAGTAATTTGAAAATATGTTATTTATATACACAAGATAATTATGTCATGCACAATTGTTAACTTGAATTTTGCATTAAATTTTTGAAAGTAATTACTATTTAAAAATTTTGCTAATTAAATTTTAAGTATAATAAATAGAAAATATTTGACTCATTGGGTAATTATAATGTTGATGATAATTTATCATGCAATTTTAAGCTTTTTATGCGAGGGTTCATTATATTCATCGCAACCTCTGGACTTAATGTTATCGATTGCAGAAATTGTATTATAAAAGTTATAGAAAAACTTGTTTTCATTGGATTGAAGTCTATTTAATATGGACTCAAATTCGGTTTCATTTGCGAGAATATTCCTATCGATAGACCACTCGTTATATTCGGACAATACTTCACTGCAATCCGGCCTTTTGGACCAATCGGGAACCGACATCATTGAGTGTAATATATTTACTAAATATACTACTGGTGCTAGTAAATTATTTTCAGCCGAATAAATATCCTGGCTTAATTATAAATGAATATATTAATAATAACAAGAAAATAGGTTTTAATATTTGTCTTACCTTTTAGTGCCCTGGTTATACAATTTTAAATCAAATATTTCTCCACCAATTAATGCTAAACTGTAGATATCCGATTTGTGCCCATATTTATCACCATAATTTATTTCAGGTGCCTGGTACTTTATTGTGCCAACATCTGGTGTGTGTTTTTGAGATGTCCGGCAATGAATGTGCTCGTCGTGAACTGTAGCCAAACCAAAGTCACATAACTTAACAAATCTACCGTTCCTTACATTTTCAGAAATTAATATGTTTTCTGGTTTGAGGTCTCTGTGAATGATCTGTGGATTCAATTCANGGATTCAATTCATGCAAATACTGAACACTTTCTAAGATCTGACGGAAAATTATACACGAAATGAAATACTCGACAAAATCCATGGCTTCCCCTAATTGACGCTTAAATATTTTTGGTTTGATTTCTAATATATTACGTAAATTCTGTGAACATAACTCCATTCGAATATACAAATATTCCCCTTCAAACCATGAATCATAATATTCGACCACATATTCTGAACGCACTTTTTCTAAATTGCCAATTTCATTAAAAACTTTGTTTCTTTCTTCAGTTGTTCTAGCTTCGAAAAAAATTAAAACAATTTTAAATCAACGGTTAAATTATAATTTGTAATTGTAATTACTTTTCAGCTCAATCCTTTTGACGGCATATATCTTTTCATCAATTTTATATTTTACTTTGAATACAGTTCCGAAACCTCCAGAACCGATAATCGACAAATGCTTTAATTGTTTTTTAAATTCACTTTCAACCTTTGTAGTTCCTAATATAAATAATATAGGGTAAATTATTACTTTTCAAAAATATAAATAAACTGAAATGAAAAAGTTATATCCGATGCAATTGATATTCAATTTATTTTACAAATGTAGTTGTTTACAAAACTTTGCTCCCATACCACCAGTGAGTTCAATTTACTACCATACAAATTATTACATTATGTAATCCTTATTACATTACTAAATATGCATTTCACTCATTTTTGTACCTCACTACATATGATTACACGAAACTGTGTTAAACTATCAAGTAACATCATGATCAAGCAAAGTTTAGTGAATACCTTCGTGTAAAAAAACGTATATTTATTATAAACGTAATTTACTTAAATAGCCATAAAATGTTACCTTCACTTGAATTATTATTTTCGGTATAGAAGATTTTATAAACATTATTAAATATCTGTACAAAAATCCACTTTAAAAAATTATAATTTTTAGCACTTTTCTTGTCAATGTGTTACGTATTATAACTTATTTGACATTGTTTTGTGTAAAAATCATAAAAATTATTATAATTATAAGTTATTAGCTCATCTGGGGAAGAAAGGCCACAAATTATATCACCGTTGAGTATTGTAACTTGGTCATATTGAAAAAATGAACATATTTGTGTAAGATGTTTGGCGTTTAATTTTATCGGAATTCGCATGGGTGTTTTTTGAACTTGAATTTGGTTTACATTGTTCATGTATTGCCCACAAAAATATATATAATTTGAATTAAATAGAAAACAGGTAAAATGATTGGTCTTAAAATTCAATGAATATAGAGATTTGATATCATTTAAATATGGGATCAGTTTGGGTGACAGTATCTTATTCACAATATTTGAAGTATCGTGTCCTAATTGTCAGTATCTATTATCACCGCAACTAAATACCAAATCAGTCAAAGTAATAACAAATGAAACAAATTGAAAACAGAAAATATTTTTAACTTCATATTACTACCCAATAATACTACTACTTTGTATATAGAATATTATTCAACAAATTAATTTTAGTGGTAGAAAGTATATGCAAATTATTTTTTAAAACTAAATGATTGCTTACCTAATGTGGTGCCCATAGAAATGGCGGACATGAGGGCCGATAGGGCGGCCAACCAGACTCATATGGACGGTCTCCTCACGTCGTCGTTATTATCGGACGACATGTTTAGAAATTAATTATATTTTTTATGTTTTAATTATTAATGAGAATATAATTGTTTTCCAACTGCTATCCGATGTAACACTTATTGTGTTAGAAAAACATTGACACAAATTATTAAAGAATTATTCTTTAAGTAAATATTTTGTTATATTAATTGACGAGTATTTGCACTACAAATACACGCAACCAATTTGTACTATAAAGTGATCAATGACAAACAATACTCCAACTATTATATGAGAATTTGTTATCAACAAAATCAATTAACATTTAAGTTAGCACGGTACTTGTATTGTATGTATCAATCACTACCTATTATATGATAGTTAATTGGAAGTTTTCGATAAAATAGTTTTGTTGGGTATTATCCAATATGTTATGAAACTATTAAAATGTTATACACTGTAAGATATATCGGACAAAATTTACAACATTATTAGATTATGAAATTATTGATATTTTATAATAATTATTGACCTTTAATTAATTAATTTCATTAGAAATAATTATACATTTAGTGCAAATTGATAAATAGTAGTCGTTATCATAACTAGATAACTTTATGAATGATGTGACAATTCGTTTACCTATTTCCAAAATGAATAGCAATATAAAAAGTAATAATTTAATTAATACTCTGTTTGATCCTAACATGTGCTGGTGTTTAAAACCTTGTTATGAGACACACAAGTGACTGATTCTTAGAAATATTTGATAATTATATTGTTATTGAGTTACAAAATTCTGTGTAGATATACAAGTATACAAGGATTAAATGAGAAATTCTATAAATATTTTAAATATTTAAATACGAGAGAGAGAGAGAGAGAGAGAGAGAGAGAGAGAGCTTATATTATATTATTATATGATAAAAATGATATTTTCTCAATGTTAAAAGCTTATTTATCAATATTTTTACTTTGAAAATATATACAATGGTATATTATTCGTTATTTATTAATTGTTGTTTGTATTATACATTTTTATAAAATATAGTGCATTGAGAATATATGTCATTATACTGTACACCTTTATATTTTCAGGAAATTAATGTATTAATTTACGGATATTATGTTTTTCATTGAAAAGTGTTTGTGAAGTTTTATTTTTTTAAATGATACATTAGAAAGTACTAGTACCGTAGTAAGTTAGTAATAATAAAATAATACAGTATTTATATTAAATTATATGTAAATTATATGAGAAATTCTTGTCCAAAATCATTGGATAGTCACCAACAACAGGTATATCAATGTTAAAAACGTGTTTTAATGTTTTTTGATATTGAAATAATATTCATACAATACTAAAAATATTTTTTTATTCATAATTAATAATAATGTTAAAATTTACAATAAATTTCAAATCATATTACGGGTTCATAAATATATAACAATCAATATGATAATATTATAACAATAATAGCAAAATAATTTTAAATATAATATACACACACAAAATAATAAAAATAAATGCCACAAACTATTTGTGTTTTACATTTTTGAATTTAGCTTAAACTTGCTACAAAAATGAGATACATTAAAAATGGTTGTAAATAAAGTTTTGAGAAAAATATTTATAATCAAAAATAATTTTTATAAACTATTATATAATTAGAGAGATATAATGAGATTATTTAGGATACCCCATGGAAATGAGTGCTAAGATATATAAAAATAGCTATAATGGGAGGTTTAAGGGGCTATGAGATTATAATTAACCCCTCAATCCTGGATACCCTCCCATTAAACACAATCCTTATTAACAGATCCAAACAATTATCATAAACACCTAAATAGTGGTCACATCCTTATTAACACTATATTTAGGTAGACTACCCTTTGACACGTCGGTGCCCTCATCACCGCCCGACTGTCCCATGAATATCCGGCTCATCTCCTCCAGCGATCGGCCTTTGGTTTCGGGCACAAAGAAGATGGTGAAGAGGACGGCCACCACCTGAATGGCGGCGAACATCCAGAAAGCGCCGTACGATTGGAGGGACTTCTGGATGGACTCAAACTGTTTGGTGACGATGAAGGCGCACAACCAGTTGAACGCCGTTCCCGTGGCGCTGACCGCACCGATCGCATGGCTGGGCGTGATCTCCGCCACTATCATCCACGGTATGGGTCCGAAGCCTAAGCTAAATGACACGACAAACACCACCAGACATACCACGGGTAGCCAACCCAGGCTCGCACCTCCCCCTCCCACTCCAGACTCGATCGATTGCTCGACCATAACGGACGCAGTGGTGGTGACAATTGTGGTGTCGGAGCCGCTATGCATTTTGTGGTAATAGTAGTAACCCATGACTCCCAGAGTGACCACATGTCCCACACCTGAAGCCAAGAGTAGTACTTTACGGCCCAATCGATCGGTGATAAGACCTCCCCCTATAGTGGCGATAACCATAGCGGCGCACACAATACAGGTGCTGACCATAGGGTCCATGGATGAGCCCGAGTCCTCAAATATGGTCTTCAAGTAGAAGAGGACGGCATTAATGCCAGAAAATTGCTGGAAAAACATCAACACATTGGCGATGATAAACGGCTTATAGATGTCGGCGCGGGTTAACTGTCCCATAGAGAAGCCCGAGTTCTCCTTAGACTTGTCGGCGCTGTCGGCCATCTCCTTGAGCTCCGTCTCGATATTGCTGGAGTCGGACCGGAGTTTGCGGAGGGCGTCCACCACTTGGGAACTGCGGCCGTATTTATTCATCAGCCATATGGGCGACTCCGGCATGAATATCATGCCTATGGTCATGATAACAGCCGGCGCCAGACCTACTATGCAAAGGGCGCGCCAGCCCAGGAATAGCCCAAACAAATCAATGTATAAAATGCCAATCGTTATGAAAATCTAATGACAAATATTGTTTAGAGAATATTCTGTGGATATATTTGTCGAGAATTTAGTGATTACTTGGAAGCCTGTGCCCAAAAGCCCCCGTATTTTAGGGGTTGATAAGTGTATACAGTATGTCGGTGCCACTCCTATATTAACATTATATTTGTGATTAATTTTTATTAGTATTTAATTCTTGAGATACTGTATAATGACAATTACCGCAACAAATTCCTGATCCAAACCCCGTTAACACTCTGCCCACTATTATGAGTGCAAAGCCCTTTGCGGCACTAAATGTGTGCAATTAATTCAATTTTAATATCATCCAGTGAAAATATACTGATAGTAGTAATATTTTTAAATTGTATTATAATTACCAAATGAGCACCCAGCCTACAATGAATGGTGCGCCCAAACCGATCAAAACCTTTTTCATGCCCAACATCTGTAGCAATGGGCCTGAAATGAATATACAGTACATCAGTATATTCTTTACATCTGTAATAAACATCATATACCGCCTAACAGTCCGCCCGCCAGTGCCCCCAATGTCATGGATGAGCCGATCCACGTCTCGGTGTCCTTATCAGCGGCCGTCAGATACAGGGAACTGGCGTTGTTGTGAAGGTCTGGAAGTGCCGGTGCACTCCATCCTATTTATTTTGGACATCATAATTAGCTTTATAAGCATTACTAAAATATTCTGTATAATAACGTTTTATTATTATAACTATTATATAATAATTTCGTACTACTTTAAATACAGAATATATGATTATTCTATATGAATATTTTATCTATGACATTTTAAATATGAAAATAGTAATTAATAAGCATTTATTGGTTGCTTACCTAACGTGGCGCCCATAGTCATGGCGGACATGAGCGCCGATAGGGCGGCCAACCAGACCCATAGGGACGGACTCCTCCGGTCGTCGTTATTATTATCGGACGACATGTTTAGAAATTAATGATTTATTTTTGGCTGAGATTTTTGATGAGATATTAATTAGTTTCCAATTGGTATCCGATGTATCACTTGATCGCTATAAATAACATTGACATCATTTATAAGATTTAGGCTATTCATAAACAAATTGAACCTTAATCTGAGCCTGCACCTTACATTGCATGTTAGTCCACCTATCTGATCATATTTCATAAAACCAGCTTAACCCTTTATTTTAAAATTATCTTAAATTCATACACTTTCATAGGGGAAGCCTACTTACAGGGTTTGATCGGTGCAGCTCAGATTAAAGGTGTCTATGAAATGAAATACTCTCAAATAAATAAGTTGCTAGATTAATCACAAAGTAGTTGTACTGTAAATACACAATTGTTTTGTACTTTTAAGATTACAACATAAATAATATTGAAACCGTTATGCCAAAAGTTGTTATCAAAAAGACTTATTAGTACACAAATGTGTACATTATATAGTGTGAGGGTTATTTTAATTGTGAGTTATATTTTTATAATCTCTACCTATTGTGTTAGAGATTTTAATAGGAATTTTTTGTTTTTTGGATATTATTCAATAATATGTGTTATGAATTTTTTAAATGTCAAAAATCTTTTACGTATATTATTTATGCGAAATTGTATTTAATCAACAGTATGATTATAATAAACATTTGATTTGATGAAACTCTATCTTAGTATGATATGCATGGTAAGAAAATCTGAAAAATTTACAAATTTATTGCATTTTAAAGTAATAGATATTTTTATCATAATATTGTTAAAAGTTAGCTGAATATAAATAAATGGTTTGAAACAATACTATTGGTAATCGATATAAACGAAAAATTATTTTATCAATTACTCGCTAGATAAGAAAATACAAAGGTATTTTAATTAATAGTTAGTTATCACTACTCAAATTCTCGAGTGTGTCTCAAATTATAGTTATTAGACACATACGAGTGTCTTATACTGTACTTAGAAATGTATGTAAAATATTTATTGGGTAATAAATTCTTTACATGTATTGTATATAAGAATTAAATTAAATATTTTATAAATATTTAAAATATTTATTGTATTAATTAGAAAGGGAGTGATAATGATTATAATAAAAAAGATACATGTATTTTCAATGTTAAGCTTATTATCACAATGTTTACTTTTTAATTGTTATTTGTATTAAACGTCAGAATATTTTTTGACAAATATGTCTGGGATAAATGTTATTGAATAAAACTTTGTTATAAATAGATTAAATACCTGTTGAATGTTCAGGAAACTATTGAATACGGATATTATAATATAATTTGTTTTCAATTCAAAAGTGTTGTGAAGTTTTTGTTATGAAAGAAATAACGGATAATAAGAATAATATAATAAAATATTTATCAAAACTTTGTGTGAATTCTTGACAACAATTCTTGTAATAAATAACACGTTTATAAAAACACTTCAAACAAAGGCACAGAATATTATGGTAAACCAAAATTGAAATAAACTTTTAAATCAATAGTAAAGTTTTAACAAGTTTATTGAATTAATTAATTTGAAAATATAAATGTAATCTTAAAACACACAAAATCAATACTAACTGCAAAACATAAAATTAAAAATTGATTAAAAATTTAAATATTAAAACTTTTTGCGAGACAACTATTTTCTTGAAACTTGAAAACTGGTTAATCGGTTATAACTTATAATATTTGAGGTAATATTAAATATTCACTTAAATATCGAGACCTTGTATTGGGAGCAGAGATTTAACTGTGAAATAAAATTGCACTGTTTATGCAAATTCATAAATACATAACAAAAACCTTATTATTATTATTATTCACTAATTAATGGAAAAATTTATATTTTAATTATCTATACCTTTATAACAAAAATTAGTGCATTTATAATGCAAGCATTTATTTTTCGCAATTAATTATTAATAATATACTACAATAACATTTAACGGTAATAATAATGATCGTAATGAATGTGAAATATTTTCTATGATTGAACTATTAAAAAAAATTGTAATAACAAGTGAATTCAAGTTCAGTAAGACAATTAATGTATTGGTAATGAAATGGTAAAATTGCGAAAAAATAGCATCAAAGCCTTTTTTGAATAAAAATAATTTTAAAGATTTATTTGCAAAAAAAAGTGAAGGTTTTCGTCGATCACTTGAATATTGATTTTGTTTGATAATGTGATGGATATATAGTAATAACAACCTTATGTTAATTGAGTACAGAATCCGTATATATATACGGATAAATATATATATATATATAGTACTAGGAATATACCACAATAATAGAGAAAATGCATATTTATGACATAAAAATCACTGTCAAATGTGTGGGAATGAAAAAAATTGATACATAAAAATAGTTCATACATTTGATGGACAGATATATGACACACATATATATTCTTGCGATGATATTTAGCATTAAAAGCACATCTCATTCCCAAATAATAGATAAGACTAAACACACATTTGGTGGTGAAATCATATTTATCGTCACGTCTTCATTAATAGCGAAATATATACACTTTTTCTGTCATAATAGGCAATAGGAGTACACTTATTATGATTCGCGAGGCATATGATTGGGAAATATATGTATCACTGAATTAACGGCTATATTATTCAAATATTGTCTCCACCACTGAATGTAGCACTTAATTATTGCCAATGTATTATATTGGTGAAATGAACTTTTCAGTGCTGTATAATCAATGAGATTTAATGAGATTTCCCGTTGACTTAAATGTTTTATTTATAAGCCTTTCGAGTTTAATATGTATTTTTTGAAATACCTTTTGATTTTATATTTTTATTTTTTATCTTTTCTTTTATTTTTTAATATATACAGTAAACTCTCTTTGTAATATACAATTGCATAATTTGTTAGATATTTTGCATATAATATATAAAATTTAAATTATACAAATGTAATTGGTGTACCTAAAAAATAAGTTAAATTTTAGTTTACTTTTAGTTCACAATTTTGCGGTATATTCCTATTCACTAATCTATTTATACAACTGTTTTATTTAATTTTTGTATTAAATCCTTGTTTTATTTTTTGTGAAAATGAATGATTTTTTATTTTTTATTGGTTTTGGTAATAATCTGAATAAATCAATACAAGTACACTTTTCCACACTCCGGGCCATTAATTAATAGGTTATCGAAAGTTAATTATTTTAATGCTTTTTAAATTGTTACCATTTTCCTGTATTTTATTAAAATGTAATTAAAATGTTTATTTTAAACTTACGATAGATTACTTTATAATTGATTTTCAAATCTTAATTTTCCTAATTTAAAACATGCAGTAATTATCTAAATATGAATAAATAATTAATGATTATTTAAAAATAAATTATTTACTAAAGTCATACCCTTTATATTAGGATTTTCTAAACATTTTAATAAATATAAACTTATATTATTAAAACAAGATTATATTTATCAGGTTATATAAGATTTTCATCATTATAATACATTATTACTTAATGATATATAATTACAAGCTAATTAATGGGTTATGAATAAATTAAATATATTTATAAAATATTAAATGCAATAAAAATATACCGCATATCACTCTATATTTAACAGTGATTTATAATATACAACAAAACACTTTTAAAAAATCTTATATTATATAATATAAAACACTTAATTATTATCAAAAATTCTTATGTTTCATACAGTTAAATAATTTGCACTTAAATATTAGATATTTTATAAATATTGTGCAAATTCTTAGTGCTTGACACCGTACAAAGGTTATATCAT